GTCTGGTATTTCTCTGTATGCTGATATTTCTTCTTTTGTTCTGGTATCTGTAAGCTTATTCCTCGTGCACAGCTCCGTGCCTGATATGATATATGTGTTCTTTTGTTCTGCTGTTCTCTCCTTTTAACAAAATATATGGTTCGTTGTTGGTCGGATTCACTTCACTGTTCTTCAGAGCCTGACTATACCGCGGCCGTATTGTGGTCACTGTATCTTCTGCATTCTTTTAGCTCTAATTGCTTAATTCATTTAACGTGTCCTTGTAGCTTGGGCCTCTTAATTCTGGGACATGTATTGGTGGATAGTGGAGGGACTTTGCCGGCACAGCGGCGGACGATCCCAGTACCACCACAAGCTAGAGTCAGTTTTTGTCCATAAATGATTGTCGTGCTCAAGCACTACTGAGAAGTTATCAAGTTATCATGGGAGGAGGAAGACAAGGAGGAAAGACAGGTGTGGAGACAAGGAGGGAAGACAGGTTAGGCAGACAGGGAGGGATGGAGGAACTCACACCTGACTACCAAGAAGGAAACAAGGTGCAACTCTAGGTCAGGGAGGAGGTTAGGGAGAAGGATGGGGAGGGAGGGAGAGGAGAGAAGAGAAGGATAACATAGGAGCTGAGGTACATCCTGCTTTTCTCACAGGGAGGAGAATGAGTGAAGGGCGAGCGAGCGAGGAGGAGGAGGAGTTGGAGGGGGTCCGGCTCAAGGAGTGGCGAGACACAGGGTCAAGACGTACAGCCACACCCCCCAAAAATCTTTATCTTTCTGCTGTCACGTGACAAAGCACCCTACTACCACCACCACCCCTTCAGTTCTATGTTATTACAGGTGTTTGACACACGACACATCACCTATGTGTCAGGTGAGGGGAGTGCCCATCACCTGTGTGTCAAGTGAGGGGAGTACCCATCACCTGTGTGTCAAGTGAGGGGAGTACCCATCACCTGTGTGTCAGGTGAGGGGAGTACCCATCACCTGTGTGTCAGGTGAGGGGAGTACCCATCACCTGTGTGTCAGGTGAGGGGAGTACCCATCACCTGTGTGTCAGGTGAGGGGGAGTACCCATCACCTGTGTGTCAGGTGAGGGGGAGTACCCATCACCCGTGTGTCAGGGGAGAAGGCGGAGTTCGTTATCTCATCAGTGAAAGCGTGACGCCCAGAAGGGAGTCGTGAGGACCTTCATCCTGGAGCTATGGTCGCCCCCCACAACCAACACCTCCCTCTGACCTTCAACACACGCCCTAAAACTTCCTTGACAAATATTATTAGTTCCAAGAGCTTAGATGCAAGCATATGAGCTCATTTATTTTCTGCTTCTGTTATCATTTGGATAAAATAATCAATGAGCATTGATATATTATGTGATATTAGGTACTATCTGACTACTGGTTTTGGCGTATGAATGCTGGGACATTATATGCATCCAAGCAAGCACATGCAAGTTCGTACGTCGTTAGGCAAACACACAAGCACTAGTACGCAATCATCCAACAAGCACAAATGCACGGTTGATATCACGCCAAACCTGTCTCCTGAAACTTCAAAAGAATATCATCAGCGGCGTGTGCGAGGCTGGCTAATATCAGAACTGCCTTCAGAAACTTGTATAAGGAATCATTCAGAACCTTGTATACCACGTATGTAAGACCAATCCTGGAGTAAATAGCCCTCTATGCCTTGTTAAGCACAAGACAAAGCTGGTGAAAGATTATAAGTATTTCTCTAGACCCAGAACTAAGAGGCATGAATTACGAGGAAAGGCTGCGTGAATTGCACCTCACGTCGCTGTATACCAGAAGAGCTTGGGAAGACATGACCACCAGACACAAAATTCTCAGGTAGCAGGAATTAACAGGTAGACACGGATGGATTATTTAAATATAAATAAATAAATATGTTTATTCAGGTAAGGTACATACATACAAGTGATGTTACATTAATGGATTGATATATAGATAGAGCTAGTACATACAATGCCTAAAGCCACTATTACGCAATGCGTTTCGGGCAACAACACAGGCGGTACACGCACAAATTGATACAAGTGGAAGCTGAGTACCCAAATGAGTCACAGAGACGTCAGTGTCAGAGTAGTTAGTAAATGGAACGCACTAGGAAGTGATATGGTGGGGGCAGACTCCATACACAGTTTCAAATGTAGATATGATAGAGCCCAGTAGGCTCGGGAATGTATACCTTGTATTCCACATATGTTAGACCAATCCTGGGGTATGCGGCCCCAGCATGAAGCCCGTACCTTATCCAACACAAGGCGAAGCTTGAAAAAGTTCAGAGATATGCCACTAGGCTAGTCCCAGAACTAAAAGGCATGAGTTGCGAAGAAAGGCTGCGAGAAATGCACCTCACGACACTTGAAAACAGAAGAGTAAGGGGAGACATGATCACTACCTACAAAATTCTCAGAAGCATTGACAGGGTAGATAAAGGTAAACTGTTTAACACGGGTGGTACGCGAACACAGGGACACAGGTGGAAACTGAGTACCCAAATGAGCCACAGGGACGTTAGAAAGAACTTTTTCAGTGCCAGAGTAGTTAACAGGTGGACTGCATTAGGCAGTGATGTGGTGGAGGCTGACTCCATACACAGTTTTATATGTAGATATGATAGAGCCCAGCAGGCTAAGGAATCTGTACACCAGTTGATTGACGGTTGAGAGGCGGGACCAGAGAGCCAAAGCTCACCCCCCACAAGCACAAATAGGTGAGTACAAATTGGTGAGTACACACACACACACACACACACACACACACACACACACACACACACACACACACACACACACACACACACACACACACACACACACACACACACATTTAATACAATTCTATGACCAAGTAACAAAAATTAGGCAAGAAAGAGAAGGGTGGGCCGACTGCATTTTCTTGAACTGTCAGAAAGCCTTTGACACAGTACCCCATAAAAGGCTGTTACAAAAGTTGGAGCAAGAGGCAAGAGTAAAAGGTAAGGTGCTCCAGTGGATAAGACAGTATCTAAGCACCAGGAAACAGCGAGTTACTGTAAGGGGAGAGACATCAAAGTGGCGAGATGTCACCAGCGGAATCCCACAGGGCTCTATACTTGGACCAATTCTGTTTCTAATATACGTAAATGATCTCTTCCAGAAGGTATAGACTCATTCCTCTCAATGTTTGCTGATGATGCAAAAATTATGAGAAGAATCAAGACAGATGAAGATAGACAGAGACTACAGGATGACCTGGACAAACTGGATGAATGGTCTAGAAAATGACTGCTAAAGTTCAACTCAGGAAATGTAAGGTAATGAAATTAGGCGAAGGGAGCAGAAGGCTGAACACAAGGTACCATCTGAGAGGGGAAATCCTGCAAGAATCAAATAGAGAGAAAGATCTGGGGGTTGATATCACACCGAACCTGTCCCCATAGGCCCACATCAAAAGGATATCATCAGGGGCATATGCTAGGTTGGCCAACATAAGAACTGCCTTTAGAAACTTGTGTAAGGAATCGTTCAGGACCGTGTATACCACTTATGTCAGACCAACCGTGGAATATGCAGCTCCTGCCTGGAGTCCATATCTAGTTAAACCACAAGACAAAGTTAGAGAAGATTTAGCGATGTGCCACCAGACTTGTCCCGGAACTGAAAGGTATGAGCTACGATGATAGGCTGAAGGAGCTGAACCTCAAGTCCCTGGAAAACAGAAGAGAAAGGGGAGACATGATAACCACCTACAAAATTCTCAGGGGAATTGACAGGGTGGACAAAGACAAACTCTTCAGCACGGGTGGGACACGAACAAGGGGACACAGGTCGAAACTGAGTACCCAAATGAGCCACAGAGACATTAGAAAGAATTTTTTCAGTGTCAGAGTAGTTAGTAAATGGAATGCATTAGGAAGTGATGTGGTGGAGGCTGACTCCATACACAGTTTCAAATGTAGATATGATAGAGCCCAGTAGGCTCAGGAATCTGTACACCAGTTAATTGACAGTTGAGAGGCGGGACCAAAGAGACAAAGCTCAACCCCCGCAAGCACAAATAGGTGAGTACACACACAGTATTCAGGAGACGTAATCTACAGACCCGGGTTCGATTCCCGACAGAGGCAGAAAGCAAATGGGCAGAGTTTTACCCTGATGACCCTGTTCACCTAGCTGTAAATAGGTATCTGGGAGTTTGACAGCTGCTACGGGCTGCTTCCTGGGTGTGTGTATGTCAGTGTTAGAGAGAAATATGTGTAGAAGATCTGATAAAGAAAATTAGGTTAGGAATCTGTATATTAGACGACCAACAGTTAGAAAAGCGGGGTCCAAGAGCTAATAGCTCGATTCTGCAGGCTCAAACATTAAATACAAATAGTAAGGTAAGGTAGGTATACGACAACGACTATACCCATAGTAACTACGACTATATGACACTATATAGGATCTGGGATCGGACGGGGGAAAGGAATGGTGCCCAACCACTTGGAGGGTCGGGGATTCGTGCAGGGACGACAACTTGCATGAAGCAAGACCGTCGCTTCAAGTTTCATACTCATGCATACACACATACTAAATAAAAACAATGTACACACACATACTCAAAAGTTCACACACACACAAAAGCAGGCAAACATAAACGCAGCCCACACAGAAAAAAGTATAAGTATACGCACCCCCTCCTGGACACACATACCCCTCCCACCACACACACACACACACACACACACACACACACACACACACACACACACACACACACACACACACACACACACACACACACACACACACACACACTCACACACACACTCACACAAAGCTTGGACAAGGAAGACAAGGTTAAAAAAGCACAGGAAACAATGCAGGCATAGGTTGTGCATCCTAGTGTGTGTGTGTGTGTGTGTGTGTGTGTGTGTGTGTGTGTGTGTGTGTGTGTGTGTGTGTGTGTGTGCGTGCAGCGTGGCTATATCTGCCCCGCTGGAGGTGTGGGATCTCCCGTGGTCCAGGCAGCCACAGTCAGTCCAGAAGATGGCGTTGCTGGTGACGGTACTGGTGGCTGTGTTCTCGTACGCCACAGCACAGAGCTTCGCAGGTAAGGGCTGGTCGACCAGCTGGATGCCACGTGCTCCTAGTACCCAGATGTAAACAAAACTTTGTTTATTTGCTATTCAGTTTGTCACAGCGTTGTAAGCGACGCAAACATAATGTGGCTAAGCTGTGTGTGTGTTGGCCGGGTTGGTAGTAATTTGTCCCATCACTGCAAGACACAGGGGCTTAAATTTCTTTGTGGCAAAAGCCATTTAACAATGATTTTGGATTTGGGAATTATTTATTCTCTTATGAAAACGTGGGTTTATTGACACTGATATTAGCTTCTTTCTTTCGGCTTCTTCTGGTTGTTTATATTATTTTCAGTGCTTTTGTACATGTTTATATTATTTGCAAGGCTTTTGCTTAAAGCCTTTTTTTTTAATCCCTGTTTACTAACCAATGGCTGTACCTTTCAGTTTTAGCTGTTTATTAGTCGTTTTGAGGCTCTATATGTGGGGTTATAGAGCAACCCGTTCTCGCAAATTCGTAAAGTTAATATTGACTTATTAACTACGTGCATAGGTGATATACTAAACATAATAGATACCCTTAAAAAGATTCATAGAAAACACCAACCTTACCTAACCTTGTTAGTATCTTAAGATAAGCATCTTATTGCTTCGTAATTACAATTATTACCTAACCTATACCTATTATAGGTTAGGTAATAATTGTAATTACGAAGCAATAAGATGCTTATCTTAACATACTAAGTAGGTTAGGTAAGGTCGGTGTTATAGAGTAGATAGACTTCCGAATGATCTCAAGAGTCAGCTGAGTTACAGGGTCGAGGTCAGGAACCAGCTGAGTTGCAGAGTTCACGTCTAGAGTCAGCTGGGATACCAGCCAGAGGATGTCTCACACTGCTCCTTGGAGGAGGAGGAGGAGGAGGAGGAGATGTCCGACACAAAAACTGGCACGAATGACTTTTTTTGGTTGTGACCTTCCTTGGTGAGGTCAATGTGACCTTCCTTGGTGAGGTCAATGTGACCTTCCTTGGTGAGGTCAATGGTTGAGGTAGTTGCTAACTCTTCCGCCTCCTCCTTAGCCTCGATCCAAGTGAATATATTTGGTAATTGTAGTTTCTCCCTCGTGCCTAAGTGTAAATGCTCACTCCTGCCACCATCGCCAGCTTCCCTCACCCCTCACCATCCTCTCTCACCATCACTAGCCTCCCTCACCATCACCAGCCTCCCTCACCATCACCAGCTTCCCTCACCCCTCACCATCCTCTCTCACCATCACTAGCCTCCCTCACCATCACCAGCCTCCCTCACCATCACCAGCTTCCCTCACCCCTCACCATCCTCTCTCACCATCACTAGCCTCCCTCACCATCACCAGCCTCCCTCACCATCACCAGCCTCCCTCACCATCACCAGCCTCCCTCACCATCACCAGCCTCCCTCACCATCACCAGCTTCCCTCACCCCTCACCATCCTCTCTCACCATCACTAGCCTCCCTCACCATCACCAGCCTCCCTCACCATCACCAGCCTCCCTCACCTTCACCAGCGTTCCCATGGATGTAACCCTTTGATAATGACAGCCACAAGATGGTCCTGTGGCTTACTACTTAGTCTATGTGTTGGTTAATGATCTTAATGTGAGTAAGACTAGACGAGACGCTAGTTAAGGAGAGTCATGGTATGATCTAAGATTGGGGTCAGTCATTGGAACCGGTTAGGATATTGAGTGTCAGGTGAATTTATTATTTTTGTCTGTAGAATCGAGCTATTAGCTCTTGGACCCCGCTTTTCTAACCAATTTATTTTCCTCTATTTTGGCTACTACATATATTTCTCTCTAACACACGAACACGCATCCCCAGGAAGCAGACCGTATTACTCCCAGGTACCTATTTTTTCTGCTAGGTGAACAAGCTTATCAGATTGAAAGGAACACTGCCTATTTGTTTCTGCCTTGTCCTGGAATCGAATCCGGGCCCTTAGGACTACGACCCCGGAGCGCTGTCTACTCAGCCACGAGGCCCCCATGTACTCACCTAGTATACACATGTATACCTAGTATATACACCCCACACACACACACATGTATGTGTGAGTGTATATACACACACATACACATGTATGTGTACCCACTTAATGTATGTGCTTGCAGGGGTCAAACGTCAACACCACGCCTCACCTTTCTGTAGGTGAGTGGTCATACATACACACACACACACACATACACACAAGGTGATGAATAACTTATAGTGGTATGTGGCTCGCAGTTGGCCCGGCCACACAACCAGTTAACGGATAGAGACAACGGTGGTTAAAACCATCCACTATTCTACAACCAGAAACCGGTTTCAGATTCTGGCCTGTGTGTGCGTGTGTGTGTGTATGTCTGCGTGTGCGTGTGTGTATGTGCGTGTGAGCAGCACTACCAGAAGGTAACGGCATCCCTCGCTCCCTTAAGGCGAGTGGGTCAACTGCACTGGGCGAGGCGTTCGATAAGAATTCTTTCACTAAGTACTGGTTAAACTGTTATATAACTGATTATAATTCTAGGGGCGTCGTATATGTGTAAATGGAGTGTGTGTGTGAATCAGTTGTAACTCACACAGTATTATGTATGTGATAACTTAATGTAATGTGTGTGATAACTTACACAGTATAATGTATGTGATAACTTTCACAATATAATGAAACAGTGATAATTTACAAAATATAATGAAACAGTGATAATTTACACAATATAATGTATTAGTCATAACTTACTCAAAATAATGTATGTGATAACTTACACAATATTATGCATGTGATAACTTACACAATATTATGCATGTGATAACTTACACAATATAGCGTAAAAGTGATAACTTACACAATGTAGCGTATAAGTGATAACTTACGCAATATAATTGATTAGTAATAACAATATGTGTGATAACTCACTCACTATACATGATAACAAATACAATATTATGTATGTGATAACTTACACAATATAATGCATAAGTGATAAATTATACAATGTAATGTATCAGTGATAAATTATACAATATAATGTATCAGTGATAAATTATACAATAATGTATCAGTAATAACTTATTCAATAATGCATCAGTGGTAACTTAAAGAGTGTAATGTATTAACGATATCTTATACAATAATGTATAAGTGATAATTTGTACAATATAATGTATCAGTGATAACTTACACAATATAATGTTACTGGGTGATGAATAATGTTATTATTCATAAATTATTCATACAGCTGCAGCTGACGCTACAATACTAATAACTTCTCCCAGTGCATTTATTAAAAATATGGAATGGGACGAAGGAATGGAATTGTGGCCAACCACTTGGATGGTCGAGAATTGAACGCAGACCTGCAAGAAGCGAGGCTGTCGCTCTACCGTCCAGTTCAAGCGGCCTTATCCGTCATATCCTAAATCCTTATCCTCATATCCCTTCCAAGTGCAATACAGTCGTAATGGCTAAGTGTTTTCTCGTTCAGCACTTTATATGTTGATAATATTTGTAGAATGCAAGGAGGGAGGAAATTGGGGGTCAGGATAAGAATTTGGGATGGGACGGGGGGAGGGGGGGAAGGAATGGTGCCCAATCACTTGGAGGGTCGAGGGAATGAACGCCGACCTGCATGAAGCCAGACCGTTGCTCTACTTTCCAGCCAAAGTGGTTGGTCTGAATGCAAGGAGTTACCTTCTCTTGTTTCAAGTTCTTTGTTGTTGATAAACCAAGTAATTATTATCGTGGATATGACTGCTCTTAAATCCTATGTTCTTGTCAGTATATATTTTCTATCTTCTTTTTGGTTTTCAGGGTGACTACGATATATTTGATTTGTTTTGAAGTAATCTCGTATAATCTCTGGTATACTGGTGTTGCAGGATGTCGGGTGTGCGAGGACTCATGCGTCACACTGCCTCGCACGGACGGAACATGCGCAGTGTGCGTGTGTGGACGGGTGGTCCTACCGGACTGTCCCACCAACGCCACCACTGTCAAGTGTCCCCCTGGCTGCACCCTGGGGCCGGGACCTGACGGCTGCGGTGGCTGTGACTGCCCGCCGCCTAAACCCCAGCTGTGTGCCGCCCTTGGCCCCTGCCCCTCCAACTGTCAGTCCCTCGTGGGTGACGACGGGTGCCCCGGGTGTGTGTGCACCTCCCAGCGGGCTGTCTGTCCCCCCGTCACCTGTCACGACGGGTGTACCGTGGAGGACGGCGAGGACGGGTGCCGCAAGTGCCGCTGTGACGGGCCTGGCACGTGCCCAGCCATGCCCGAGTGCCTCCGGGGCTGTATTGACAGAGACGACAACAGTGGCTGTTTCTTTTGTAACTGCACGCTCGCCCCCACCACTTCGACTGACACTTCGACCCGCAGACCAACGACAGCGAGACCAAAAACGAAGCCATTTGGACAAGTGCCCCCTGAAGAAGCTTCTACTGGATTGGACACGTTTGTGGGATTCACATCAGGATCCCTGAACGGCCCCTGGCCCAGGTGTCGCAGCGGGCCGCGTCTGCGATGTCCCTTAGGGTGTCGGATCGCCATTGGGCCCGACGGGTGTCGCGAATGCTATTGTGGAGACGCCGCTTACCTGTGTCCCGGCGTGCCCAGGTGCGTCAACCGCTGCCTCTTCCTCAGCCCCGAAGACAGATGCTGCCGATGCGAATGTTCTCGCCAATCCACAACTTCCAGTTTTGGCTTCAACTTTGTAAATGGTCCGTCGTTCACATCATTTACACCTTTCCGACCTTTCGGACCCGTTACACGTGGTAATCCCACCATCAGACACACGGGTCTTCTGGGCCTGCCAGGTTTGCCTACGTTCCTGAATCACAATAATCCTGCGTTTTTTGAGGTCAAGCCGCATGCAACCAAACCAGCACCGAATGTCCCCTATTCTGCAGCTGCAGGACCTAATGTAGGGTCAAATTATCCCTCTGCAACGCCAGCAGACCGCAGGGATTCTCCTGCTGCTGCAACACACAGAAATGCAGGACCAAGGGATCCTTTTCCAGGACCAAAGGATCCTCTTGCAGTAGTTACAGATCGTAATGCAGGGCCCACCGATCCTGCAGTCTCACCAACAGATCCTGCAACAAATCCTGTAGCCGCTCCAACAGATCCTGCAGCCGCACCAACAGATCCTGCTACACGAACAGATCCTGAAGCCGTACCAACAGATCCTGCAACAAATTCTGTAGCCACACCAACAGATCCTGCAACAGATCCTGCAGCCACACCAACAGATCCTGCTACACGAACAGATCCTGCTACACGAACAGATCCTGCAGCCACTCCAACAGATCCTGCTACACGAACAGATCCTGAAGCCACACCAACAGATTCTGCAACAAATCCTGCAGCCACACCAACAGATCCTGCAAAAAATCCTGCAGCCACATCAACAGATCCTGCAACAAATCCTGCAGCCACACCAATAGATCCTGCAACAGATCCTGTAGCCACACCAACAGATCCTGCAACAAATCCTGCAGCCACACCAACAGATCCTGCAACAGATCCTGTAGCCGCTCCAACAGATCGTGCAGCCGCACCAACAGATCCTGCAACAGATCCTGCAGCCACACCAACAGATCCTGCAACAGATCCTGCAGCCACACCAACAGATCCTGCTACACGAACAGATCCTGAAGCCACACCAACAGATCCTGCAACAAATTCTGCAGCCACACCAACAGATCTTGCAACAAATCCTGAAGCCACACCAACAGATCCTGCAAAAAATCCTGCAGCCGCTCCAACAGATCCTGCAACAGATCCTGACGCCACACCAACAGATCCTGCTACACGAACAGATCCTGAAGCCACACCAACAGATCCTGCAACAAATCCTGCAGCCACACCAACAGATCCTGCAACAGATCCTGTAGCCGCTCCAACAGATCCTCCTACACGAACAGATCCTGAAGCCTCACCAACAGATTCTGCTACAGATCCTAAAGCCGCTCCAACTGATCCTGCTACACGAACAGATCCTGAACCCGCACCAACAAATCCTGCTACAGATCCTGCAGCCACTCCAACAGATCCTCCTACACGAACAGATCCTGAAGCCTCACCAACAGATTCTGCTACAGATCCTAAAGCCGCTCCAACAGATCCTGCTACACGAACAGATCCTGAACCCGCACCAACAGATCCTGCTACAGATCCTGTTACACCGACAGATCCTACAGCCGGACCAACAGATCCTGCAACCGCTCCAACAGATGCTCCACCCCTAACACTTGAACAACAAATTCAACAAATTCTGCCACTGTTGCAGCAGATACGGAACATCCTGCCTGCTGTTGGGCAGGCTTAACTCGCCCCGTCACAGCCCCGGACGCACCGAGACCCTCCCTGCTGGACTCTCAGGTCCTGGAACCCGCGTCTTGAACAACAGGAGGAGACAGATTCTGTCTTGAACAACAGGAGGAGACAGATTCTGTCTTGAACAACAGGAGGAGACAGATTCTGTCTTGAACAACAGGAGGAGACAGATTCTGTCTTGAACAACAGACAGGAAGGGGGGCAGATATCCTCATGTATCCAACAAAGGATACAAGAAGAGACGGAGATCCTGTCGCCTTCAGCAACAGCGAAAGAAAGAGACAGAGGTTCTAAAGCCATCAACATTTTCTGCCCGGAAGCCTCTGACCTTCTACCATCTTCGTCAATGTTTACTATCAACAACAGCTGACTTAAAACAAACAGCTGCTTCTTTCACAATATTTTTACTTTAATTGTACTATTGCCAATTTGATAGCCACTTCCAATGATGATTTTGTTGGTACAAAGTTTTCAGCTGCTACGCAAAATCTTCAAATTTTTTTGTGTTATTTGTTTTGTTTTTTAACGATGTGAGTTGGAGAGTAAAGCGTTAAGCCGATTTTATAAATTATTTCATCCCTTAAGGTTTTATGTAATTCAATTGCTACTCTGATCTTTTGATATTTATATATATATATATATATATATATATATATATATATATATATATATATATATATATATATATATATATATATATATATCCTGCAGATCCTGCAGATAAGGCAGTATACCTGCAGATAAGGCAATATTCCCAAAATATTTGGGGTAAATACCTAGGAATTTCCATCGCTATTAAGGGTCTGAGTTTGGTGTAGTGGGTTAAAGGCGTACCAGTTATGCCAGGTGTTGTGAAGCAACTGTGCTGGCTAGGGTTCGAGTCTCCTGGTGGGGATGGGGGGGTGTGTCTAAAGTTATTTAATTTCACTTGCGAGTTTGGAATTTCCAAACTAAGGTGGTATATATATATATATATATATATATATATATATATATATATATATATATATATATATATATATATATATATATATATATATATATATATATATACCACCTTAGTTTGGAAATTCCATCAATTTTAGTTCACCAGTTTTTTATTGCATTATATTCTGTGTTTTACGTGTTAACTGATTTTTCCTATTTAATAAAGTTACTCCAAACGTATTACAAGAATGGTTTTCTATTACAGTTCGTTTTGAAGAAAATATATTCGAAGAGGAGTAACACTTGTATTTTCACTAAACTTCACTTGTTCTGATTGGGCGTTAACGTGTAGGGCATTATTTGCAGTGTATTTGTTATCCACAACGTGTAGTATTTACTTGTTGGCCACTGCATTTAGAATATGCCTAGTAAAAACTGTCAAGTATTTACCCATAGGTCACTATAGTATTGACGATGTACGGACTACTTACTATATCTTGTATTTTGCCGCAGATCACTGTATTTCTCATTAATCAAGTAGCCCCTGTATCTAGTAATTAACTGTTGGCCACTTTGTCACGGTTTGTGTATACAAGAGAGTAGAGTGGATTATGTTTTTAAACGTTTTACTGACTAATTGGTTTCCAGTTCTTCCTAAGGATAAGATTCTCTTAGATTCATCTACAAGTGCTCCAAGCTGCCTCACAACACCTTAGGCCAACAATGTTATTTCCTGATGACACAACATTTATGTTCTCATATACAAATCATTTTCAAACGACATTGCAAATAATGAACTAGAGACTTTACAGTCTCCGTGAAATGAGACTTTACAGTCTCCGTGGTGTAGTGGTAAGACACTCGCCTGGCGTTCCGCGAGCGCTTTGTCATGGGTTCGTATCCTGGCCGGGGAGGATTTACTGGGCGCAATTCCTTAACTGTAGCCTCTGTTTAACGCAACAGTAAAATGTGTACTTGGATCAAAAAACGATTCTTCGCGGCAGGGGATTGTATTCCAGGGACCATAGGATTAAGGACCTGCCCGAAACGCTACGCGTACTAGTGGCTGTACAAGAATGTAACAACTCTTGTATGTAACAACTATCACAAATTCCCACGTGGGTCACTGCCAACAAATTCCAACTTAACAGTAAGAAGAAATTCTTCATAATATTTGTAAACAAATCTGCAAGTCAAAAAGTTTAACGATTTAAGAATACTCAAATTGAGAGCAAATTAAAAGAGAAATGACCTAATATACAAAAAAAAAAATTAACTATTGTTTGCATCGGCAATTGTGTACCGCGATATACTCTGATCTCACCATTATAACACTCATTTATTCAAATCTTTCTGTATTTGCGCCTAAGTATCTACGACTCGTAACTACCTCGGACACGTGATTATTCATTAACATATAAGCAAGTTAAAACAATAACAAACTCCAATCCAAGAAAGTATGTATCATGTACCTTTACTTAAATCCTTGCCCGTGTATGAATATTAAACCACTACCTATGTTCTGACGCCAACATGAACATCATTGAAACACTAAGGACTTCTCACAAGAAACAAGTTTCTGTCTGATATTCTAAGATTCCAATTTAACCAAAACAGAAATGTCATGGGGGAAAAAAAAGTGCCCAAATTGGGGCATAATCTTCCAGAAGAGAGAGAAAAAAAAAAAAGAGTTCATTCATTTATTATGCACCTCATACCTATCTTGTGGGCGGTAATGATTTTCATTTTCGTTCGTGTTATAAACACGAGCAAAACAAGGAAACTAATTAACAAAATCTGATAAATGAGATATTTTTATTGTTTTATATTTTCAGTTGCACAAGACCGTCAGAAATGTAATTCTAAGCACGATTGGAACCTCTCCCGAAGGATAAATCCCATTCATCAAACTCAAGTTATACATTTTACATTTTATAGTTATAGCTGGAAATGAGAAAATGGAAAAATAAAAATGAACTGAACAGTTGAACAGTGTTCTAGAGCATGTATAAAGGTGACTATTATCCATTAGAGAGAGGCTTCAGCGTATACACAAAGCGGAAAGTGGCTTTAGCGTATAAATATTCACACAGAATGTGACGTTTTGTATAAATATGCATAAGCAGATTGGATTCAGCAAATAAATTCAAGTAAATACAGTAGAGAGTAATAGACCCCAGAGGAGTATACCTGAACGACCCAGTTTACACTTCGGAGATCTGGTAGACCCCATAAGAAGACCTGAGCGACTCAGTTTACACTAAGGGTGTCGGGTAGACTCGTGGGGGAGACCAGAGAGGTGCAGTTTACACTGAGGGAGTCTGGTAGAGGCCAGAGGGAGAGGCTGGCGCGGCGATGGTGTACCCGTTGCCATTGATGCCGTTGGCGAGACCGTTGCCATTGATGCCGTTGGCGAGACCGTTGCCATTGATGCCGTTGACGAGACCGTTGCCATTGTTGCCGTTGGCGAGACCGTTGCCATTGATGCCGTTGGCGTGACCGTTGCCATTGATGCCGTTGATGAGACCGTTGCCATTGATGCCGTTTACGAGACCGTTGCCATTGATGCCGTTGACGAGACCGTTGCCATTGATGCCGTTGACACCGTTACCATTGGCAGTGTAGCCTCCATTACCATTGGTGTGCCCGTTGACGCCGTTTCCATTGGTGTACCCATTGACACCATTACCGTTGACTCCATTACCGTTACCATACACGTAACCGTTGGCGCCATTACCATTGACTCCATTACCGTTGACTCCATTACCATTGACTCCATTACCATTAACTCCATTACCATTAACGTAACCGTTGGCACCATTACCGTTGACTCCATTACCGTTAACGTAACCGTTGGCACCATTACCGTTGGCACCATTACCGTTGACTCCATTACCATTAAGGTAACCGTTGGCACCATTACCGTTGACTCCATTACCATTAACGTAACCGTTGGCACCATTACCGTTGACTCCATTAAAATTAACGTAACCGTTGGCACCATTACCGTTCACTCCATTACCATTAACTCCATTACCGTTACGATATACATAACCGTTGGCACCATTACCGTTCACTCCATTACCGTTGACTCCATTACCATTAACTCCATTACCATTAACATAACCGTTGACACCATTACCGTTGACTCCATTGCCGTTAACTCCATTGCCATTAACTCCATTACCATTCACGTAACCGTTGACACCATTACCGTTGACTCCATTACCATTGACTCCATTACCATTAACTCCATTACCATTCACGTAACCGTTGGCACCATTACCGTTGACTCCATTACCGATTACTCCATTACCATTAACTCCATTACCGTTACGATATACATAGCCGTTGGCACCATTACCGTTGACTCCATTACCATTAACATAACCGTTGACGCCATTACCGTTGACTCCATTACCGTTAACTCCATTGCCATTAACTCCATTACCGTTAACTACATTACCGTTAACGTAACCGTTGACGCCATTACCGTTGACTCCATTACCATTAACTCCATTACCATTAACTCCGTTACCATTAACGTAACCGTTGACACCATTACCGTTGACTCCATTACCATTAACTCCATTACCATTAACGTAACCGTTGACACCATTACCGTTAGCTCCATTGCCATTGACGTAACCGTTGACACCATTACCGTTGACTCCATTTCCATTACTATAAATGTAACCATGTCCATTGCCATTTCCATTTCCATTAGCTAAGGCACCATTACCATTTCGCTTACCATTTCTGTACCCATTAGCACCATTTCTGTTAATCCGACTGTTACCATTCCTAAAGCCATTTTTGTTTCCGTTACCATTACTAAAACCATTTCCATTGCCAGTAGAATATCCGTTACCATTGCCATTGATTATTCCATTTCCATTAGTTACGCCGTTAAAATGTCCATTTCCATTTACACCATTAACTAAACCATTTCCATTACCATTTATGGCACCATTACCATTGGTGTATCCACCGTTGCCATTTCCGTTTCCATTTACGGCACCGTTACCATTGGTATATCCACCGTTTCCATTTATGGCGCCATTGCCATTGCTGTATCCACCGTTACCATTTCCGTTAACGGCACCATTACCGTTACCGTTGAAACCATTAGTTGGAGGCAAGTAACCGAGTCGTGTGGAACAGGAAACGCCGATCACAACTGTTGAAGAAGAAAGTATTTAAATCATTGCATAATTTTAACACATTTTAGTCATAAAAACATATTAACATCTCCAGTGTTAACGTAAACGATTTAGTACAAAAATTAACTTACAAAAATGAACTGTGTTAAAAAATGAACAGAGGATTGGTTCCAAGAAAAAGAGAATTTATTTTTCAGGTACTTAACATCAGTACATCTTTCGTGAAGCTCATTTTTTCAATCTTCCTGCAATACTTTTATGTGCGAGTATCAGGATAAACTCAATTATGTCTTACAGGGAATTCCTAAGTTGGAAACTGTGAATAAATTACAAACAGCTCGTCCTTCTAACGTTTCCAACGTCAAGAAAACGGTCAATTGAAAGTATCCTCTACTAACCTGTCAGAGGACCCAAAACAGAAAAAGGGACGATACGTCACTTTCGCGAGCCGCTTCCATTTTCTAGAACG